GGGGCGTAGTACTATGGACTCTATAGTTTATCTGGAAAATGAAATAAGAAAGGCGCAAATTAAGAAGGCGGTATTAGTGGGAGTCTTTTTTGATGTAGAGAAGGCATATGATATGCTGTGGAAAGAGGGGTTATTAATGAAATTAGAAAGTCTGGGAATTAATGGAAGAATGTACAATTGGATTTAAAATTTCTTGTTTGGAAGAACAATTCGAGTTAGAGTGGGAACGAAGTATTCTAGAATATATTCAATAGAGAATGGAACTCCGCAAGGAAGTGTAAGTAGCCCTATTCTGTTTAACTTGATGATAAATGATATTTTTTACAGTATAGAGAGTGGAGTAGGTAGATCACTATATGCAGACGACGGAGCACTATGGAAAAGGGGACGGAATATTTCATTTGTGGAATGCAAAATGCGGTGAATGAGGTAGAGAGATGGGCTAAGATATGGGGATTTCGTTTTTCTGTGACGAAAACTCCAGTAATTTGTTTTTCAAATAAGAAAAATAATCCAAAATTAAACATTAAGATGTATGATCATCAGTTGGAGCAAGTGAAAGTCGTCAGATTCCTGGGTATGTGGATGGATTCAAAATAAAATTTTGGAATACATATACAGAAATTAATTGAAAAATGTAAAAGAGGAATTAATGTATTAAGGTGTTTATCAGGTGCTGATTGGGGAGCAAGTTCTCAATCATTAAAAAGAATGTATAGTGCAGTAATAAGATCTAGTATAGATATGGTAGTATAGTATACTGTTCGGCGAACAAAACTCTGCTCAAAAGAGTTTAAGTAGTACAGTCACAGGCTCTGCGTATATGTAGTGGAGCTTTTAGAACATCTCCAGTGAATGCTTTACAGGTAGAGATGGGAGAAATGAATTTGTTTTTCGAATAAGAAAAATAATCCGAAATTAAACATTAAGATGTGTGGTCATCAGTTGGAGCAAGTGAAGGTCATCAGATTCCTGGGTATGTGGATGGATTCAAAATTAAATTTTGGAATACATATACAGAAATTAATTGAAAAATGTAAAAGAGGAATTAATGTATTAAGGTGTTTATCAGGTGCTGATTGGGGAGCAAGTTCTCAATCATTAAAAAGAATGTATAGTGCAGTAATAAGATCTAGTATAGATATGGTAGTATAGTATACTGTTCGGCGAACAAAACTCTGCTCAAAAAAGTTTAAGTAGTACAGTCACAGGCTCTGCGTATATGTAGTGGAGCTTTTAGAACATCTCCAGTGAATGCTTTACAGGTAGAGATGGGAGAAATGCCCCTAGAACACCGTAGGTTACAGTTGAGGATGAGATATTGGGCTGGTGTAAAGGGTCACTCAGAATATCATCCAGTTAAAAATCTTTTGAAAGATTGTTGGGAGTATGACTATAAAGATTTAGAGAGCTTCGGTTGGACAGTAAAGAAGGAGGCAGATAGATTAGGGTTGAATAAATATGAAAATAATCCTTCTGTAGCTATTCCAGTGGTTCCACCGTGGTTGTTTCCAATGCCTTTGATTGACTTTCAAATACAAAAAGAAATAAATGAAAAGGAGAAGATCATTCCTATAAATATAGTAGTTCAACAGTATATAAATCAAGCATATTATTCACAATTACAGATTTATACGGATGGGTCGAAGGATCCTGAATCTGGAAGGACAGCAGCAGCAGTATATATTCCTGCATTTAAAATAAAAATAGCCAAAAGAATATCAGATCATTTGTCTGTTTTTACTACAGAAATAATAGCAATTATATTAGCACTACAATGGATTGAAGAAATACAACCAAATAATATTGTAATATGTACAGATTCAATGTCTGTTCTAACAAGTCTAGAGAGTGGTAAATCTGCAGCGCGGCAAGATCTAATATATGAAGTATTACAGTATTTGTTTAGAATTAGACAATCAGGGATAATGGTATACTTCCTATGGGTACCGGCTCATACTGGGGTGGAGGGAAATGAGGAAGTGGACTGCTTGGCTAAGATGGCTCTGAAGCACTCACATAGTGAAATTAATATAGCAATTAGCAAATCTGAAATCAAGAGAATTATATCAGTTGAAGTAAGAAAGATATGGCAAAAGTTATGGGATAGTGGAATAAAAGGAAGGCATCTTTACCAGATACAGGGGTGTGTAGGTGAAGAGAGAATAAGATGTGGGAGTAGGAAGAAAGATGTTATTATAACAAGAATGAGGATTGGACATTCAGCTTTAAATTTCAATTTACACAAAATAGGGAAGCATGAAAATGGAAGATGTGATAAATGTGGGAATCCAGAAACAGTAAAGCACATTCTTCTAGAATGT